CTTCTTCTTCTTCTTCTTCTTCTTCTTCTTCTTCTTCTTCTTCTTCTAATTTAAGATTTACCATTAATAGCCCGGCAGGGTTGTGCACGCTTTTGATCCCAGCACTCAGGAAGCAGAGGCAGGAGGATCTCTGTGATTTCCAGGCCAGCCTGGTCTACAAAGTGAGAAGAGCCAGAGCTACACAGAAACTTTGCCTCAAAAAAACAAACAAAAAAGTTACCCCAAGATATTTTATATTATTGTGGCTATTGTGATGAGTGTTGTTTCCCTGATTTATTTTTTTAGCCCATTTGTTGTTTGTATACAGGAGCACTACTGATTTATTTTTAAGTTACTCTTGTATTCTTGTATTTCCACTTTGCTAAGGGTGTTTATCAGCTTTAGGAGTTTCCTGGCAGAATTTTTTTGGGTCATTTATGCATATCATTACATCATCTGCAAATGGCAATACTTTGACTTCTTCATTTCCAATTTGTATCCCCTTGATGTCCTTTAGTTGTCTAATTACTTTAACTAGAACTTCAAGTACTACGTTGAATAGATACAGAGAGAATGGGCAGCCTTGTCTTGTTCCAGATTTCAGTGGAATTGCTTTGCATTTCTCTCCATTTAATTTGATGTTGGCTATCAGGTTGCTGTACATTGCCTTTATTATGTTTAGGTATGTTCATTGTATTCCTGATCTCTCCAAGATTTTTATCATGGGAGGGGTGTTGCATTTTGTCAAAGGCTTTTTTTTAGCATCTAATAAGATCCTGTGGTTTTCTTTCTTTCAGTTTGATTATATGGTGGATACCTGTTTCTCTGGGATGAAGCCTACTTGATCATGGTGGCTGATCTTTTTGATGTGTTCTTGGATTTGACTTGCAAGCATTTTATTGACTTTTTGCATCAATGTTCACAAGGAAAAATGACCTACAATTCTCTTTCTTGAATCGGTGTGTGGATTGGGTAACTGTGACCTCATAAAATTATTTTGGCAACCTTCTTTCTATTTCTATTTTGTGGAATAATTTGAGGAGTCTTGGCACTAACTCTTATATGAAAGTCTGGTAAAATTCTGTGCTAGAACCATCTGGCCCTGGGCTGAATTGATTGTTTTTTTCTTTTGTTGGGAGACTTTTAATGGCTGCTTCTATTTCCTAACGGTTGTAAGTCTATTTAAAATTGTCTGATCTTGATTTAACTTTTGACAAGTAATATCAAGAAAATTGGCCATTTCTTTTAGATTTTCCAATTTTGTGGATTACAGGTTTTTGAAGTATGATCTAATGATTCTTTGGATTTTCTCAGTGTCTGTTATGTCCCCCCTTTAGTCTCTTATTTTGTTAATTTGGATATTCTGTCTGTGTCTTTTAGTTGGTTTGGATAGGGGTTTGTCTATCTTGTTGGTTTTCTTAAAGAACTCTTTGTTTTATTGTTTCTTTGTACTATTCTCTTTGTTTCTATTTTATTGATTTCATCCCTATGTTTGATTATTTCCTGCATCTACTCCTGAGTGTGTTTGCTTCTTTTTGTGCTAGAGCTTTCAGGTGTGCTATTACGTTGCTAGTTTGAGAAGTTTCCAAATTCTTTATGAAAACTCTTGGTGCTATGAACTTTCCTCTTAGCACTGCTTTCATTGTATCTCAAAAGTTTGGGTATGTTGTGCATTCATTTTCATTAAATTCTAGAATGTCTTTAATTTCTTTATTTCTGCCTTGACCCAGTGGTCATTCAGTACAGAGTTCTTCAGTTTCCATGAATTTGTAGGCTTTCTGTTGTTTCTGTTGCTGAAATCCAGCTTTAATCTGTGGTAGTCTGATAGGATACAGGGGAGTTATTTCAATTTCCTTGTTATCTGTTGAGACTCTCTTTGTGACCAATTATGTGGTCAGTTTTGGAGACAGTTCTATGAGGTGCTGAGAAAAAAGGTATATTATTTTGTGCTCTGGTGAAATGTTCTGCAGATATCTGTTCGGTCCATTTGGTTCATAAGGTCTATTTACTCCAATACTTCTGTTTTAGTTTTTGTCTAGATAACCTGTTCATTGGTGTAAGAGTGGGGTATTGAAGTCTCCCACTATTAATATGTGAAGTTAAGAATTTAAATGTCAGCCAAAAATAAAAATGAAAGATAGGGTGTGGACACACACCTTTAACCCAGCACTCGGGAGGGAGAGGCAGGTGAATCTCTATAAGCTTAAGGCCAGCCTGTAGTAGGATGGGAATACGTTGTAGGGGTGGGGGTGGGAGATGGTGGCAATTTTTCCTCCTGTCTCTTAGCTCCCAGAATAATGACTTAGATTTATTAAATATTATACAAATACCTAGGCCATATAGCTAGGTTCTTTTCTGACTAGCTCATAACTTAAATTAACCTACTATACTAATCTAAATTCTGTCACATCGCCCGTTACCTAAGCTCAGGCACCATGCATCTCTCTTTCTCACATCTTGGCAGCTCAATCCCAGAATCCCTTCTGCCTGCCAGAAGTTCCACCTGTTTCCTGCCTCAGCCATAGGCCATAGGTTTTTTAATTGACAGGTGTTATATTCATACACTACAAGAATACGCCCAACCTTCACGTAATGAAGGCCATGCAGTCTCTCGAGTCATGAGGCTATGTGAAGGAGCAGTTTGCCGGGAGATATTTCTACTAGTACCTTACAAACTAGGGCATCGAGTATCTCCGAGATTACCTACACCTACCCTCGGAGATTGTGCCCAACACCCTGCACCGCAGCCGTCCTGAGACTGGCAGGCCTTGGCCCAAAGTTCCAGAGGGTAAGAGACCTGCAAGATTCACAAGAAGGGGGGGCAGACAGAGACACCTACAGAAGGAGTGCTGTGCCCCCTGGTACTGACAAGTAAGCAGAGGCTGAGGCTGGCTCAGCAATGGAATTCCAGTTTAGAGGCAGCTGTGGTTGTGGCCATGGTTAGCCACCTCAGTGGAGATGGAGAATGTTTTGTATTGAATAAACCTTCAAGAAAAAAAGAAAAAAAAAAAAAAAAAAAGAATGCTTGTTGCACATATGTGAAGACCTGAACTTGGATCACAGGTAATGAGCTGGGTATGTCCAAGAACGAAGAATGTGTGGACCTTGCTGATTTCTAGCCTGGGAGGGGGGAGCAAGTCCCAAGTTCAAGAAAATACTCTGCCTCAAAGATGTGAAGAAAAGAATGACAAGAAAGAGCACTGGACACTCCTCTAGCCTCTGAGCCTCCACATGCACACAGGCACACACAGACACGGAGAGAGTTAGTTCAAGGCCAGTTGCATCTATCGTCTTTACTACATTTGGGCAATGTCTCAAAAACAAAAACAAACAAACAAGCCGGCATTCAAAGATCAAGCTAAAACAGGGCTACAGCTGAGTGTAGTTGAAACAGTTTGTATGAACAGGTCCTAAGAGTTGCTGCCTACCAGGGTGGGAAGAGTGCTTAACAAGTTTTTCTTACACCGGTTTCCAAACATACTCATTAAAGCTCAGAAACAGCAGACCTCTAGAAATCCTTCTCATGTGTGGGAGGAGAAAATGAGGGGGTCTCAAGGGCAGCTAGCTTGAGGCTCTGCCCTTCTCTGTGGAGATGGCCACACACACTGGCCTCCCACTGGCTCCCCTAAGCCTAGAGCTTTTACAGAGCCCCCCCCCCTCCAGGGGACCCATAGCAGCGAAGGGGAGAGGCTGTGTC